ACAGCCTAATAAGTATTTGTCTGGGCTCCCTGCAGGGTCGTTAGACGTTGCTTCCTGTGTACGTAATTTCAGGTTTACTCTGAAATGAGACAAAAGTGTTTCCACGTTGAAAACCAAGTCACGCTTATAACAAAAAGCAGTAGTACATAATGCAATGTCATTAATATTGACCACAATTATTGTTGTTATTGGTGTTGTTGTCTATATTGGAGTGCCTGAAAATCTAATTACAGCAGCAGCAGAACGAGGGTAAAAACAGACAGTTGAAATGTTAGTTTAAGTCTTCGTTGTTGCAGTGGTAGTTTTTGAAGCAGTATTGGTAAGCGATTGACTGTATGGTCTATAAAATGTCAGAAAATAAAGACTAAGTGTGAAGATTTGAGCTAGATTTTTTTTGGCAGTCCATCCATTAGCGGTTGAGATATTTCAGTCTGGACACGTTGACATGTCTGTTTATCGAGCCATCTCTGTCAGTCCTTGCTATAATTCCCAGTGAGCACAACTTCTGAACAGTCCAAACCCCAAACATATTTAGTTTATCAGAGCACATAAACAAGCAGCAAATCTTTACTTTTGAGAAGCTGGTAGCAGTGAATATTTGGTTCTTTTGCTCAGAAAATTGCCCAAACGGTGTGTTAATTATCAAAATAATTGCTGATAACATCAACCAATCAAATGAACTATATGTTTTTTTTGCTCTAGTAGTAGTAGTAGTAGTTCTTTCTGCATGTGCAGTATATGAGGCTGGTTCCAGTCTCTCTCTCTGTGTTTGTCTGCTTTGTCTGCTCCTCACAGTGAACTGCATAAGAATCAGATGCAGCTTCCTCTTCGTTCTGTGAGCTCATAGCACCTCGGGATGCTATCGTAATAAAAGCATTATTAGTCCCACCCTGGGTAGCCTCTGTGTTCCACTTGCATCCCCTTAAAACCAGTAGCAAGCTGTCAAAATTAAAAGGGTTTCCAATAGCAACACTATGAAACTTGTGGGGACTGTGTGTGTCTGTGAGGGTCTCAGTCTAGTCTCTGATGACTAGGATGTCGTGTAAGCAGACAGCACATGCGTCAGTATATTTCCTGTCTCTCGCACAATATGAGATTTTGGCTAATGGCTTGATGTTATTGTTTTATTGATGAGCTCTCAGCACGGAGCTCTGAATGGTGTGAATTTCCGTTTTATAACTGCTTGTGCATTGTCTTGAGTGTTGGTTCCCAGAAATATAAATACATATAAAATGTTTCTCAAATGAGTAGAGGTCCTTGATAGTACTCAGCTCCACTATGCATCCTGGAGAGCCCACTTGGATGAAGGTTTTTTTGTTTTATGTGTGAAGTACCAAAAATGAAGGCTATAAACCGTATTTCTTGAACTGACAAAATAATGAGTACAAAACATAAGAAGGCCACTAAGACTTAATTTAATTGGAACAAATATCAAACATGAGTTTTGTTTTGTTTTCCCTGAATTTTCAAGATAGATGAGACACAGCATCTCAGACCAAAACAATTCAGTGTTACGGCCCACCAGACTCCTTTGACAGTAATTTTACCTAGTAGATAATTATAAAACTGGACAGAAACTAGATAAAACTCACAAAAACATAGTTCCACAGTCTTTCCAACAGCACTGGTTTGATCGAATTAATCCCTTAATTTAGTTAGATGTGAATTAAGGGCCACCATTGCTGCCCAAAACAGGCTCATCCTTGGGGGCAAATCAAAGTGTGTCCGCTAAAAGTGCTTGTTTTTGCTACTGACACTGTGTGACATTATGGAAAGGATCCCTAGACCTTTTTGTTGAACCAGAAATGTCCGTTATATCACTATTACTCACCACCAGATTCCATAGACAATTAGTAATTTTACATGGCAGATACCTGTAACATCGTAACTTGTAACAGTAATCAACCTTAATTCACCAACGTAGGTGAGGAAAACAGCAGTTTAACTAACATGCGCGGGATAGCAACACAAGCAGAGGGAGTGTGACCTCGTTCTCTGCTCAGGACACCATGACCTCATTATATCTTTACATAGCTAATAGTTTTTAATAGTTTTAAATCTCATATAACCTTTAATGTCCAACTGAGTTTGGAAACCCAGCACTGCTTTGCTACTTTTACTAGTATGCGTGTGATGCATCTTTCTCCAGGTCTGCTGACGCTGTGTGGCGTGAGCCTCTACATCATCTACTCGTACCAGGCCATGGCTGAGACAGACAGGCTGGTGGGGCCGGAGGGTCTGGCCTATATTCAGACCTCTTTCGGCTGGTCTCTGGGACTGGCCTGGCTCTCCTACGGCCTGGAGCTCCTCACCGGCATACTGCTGCTCGTAGCTGCTCGAAAGGCCAAGCTGCAGCACAGCAGTCCCAGCATGGCCTGACACAAACCTCCACAGTGGATCCAACACATTGAGGGTGGGGACTGAACTGTAGTGAACTGTATGTGGTGCTGCCATGTGGTTCTGCCTTTGAACAAGGTGGACAGTATTAAGGCGTTCACAAAATACAAAGGTTGAACAAAAGAGGTTTTGGACTGTTTTAAAAGGTTGTGTTTTATAAACGTAATGTCCTTAAATCTGCCTCAGATTGGACATTTACATTCTGGTGATTTACAGTAAGTGCAGTGGTGGACTAAATTTGACCAGTCATGCCCTCTTGTGGTGAGAATTGTAGTGGCTCATCATATCCACCCTCAGGCACGCTGACTGCAGGGTCTGACTGTCATACTGTAGTAATATGTAATCTGTGCCAAACTCAACTGACAAGCTTACAATTTAAGATAATTTCATATGGCTTTTAATCTATAAATACATTTCAGATCTTTTCACATAAACATATTTTTAATCATGCAGATTAATTTTATGCAAGCTGTATCTTTTTTGTTTGTTTAGTATTTACATGTGTACATATTTTTGTATTGAAAATGTGTAATAAATGTGTGTTCTATGTGTCTGCAGTTTACAAATGTTACACTACTAAAGCAACTTACTGTCTGTTTTAAGCTCTGTAGAATAATTAAGAGGTAAGATCACTGTCCCTATGTTCCTTCAGTACAGTGTCAGTATTATACTGTGTTTTTTCTTGGTAACTAGTTACTCTTTATCTGTTTAATGAGAAGATTATTTTGTCATGTTGGTGTATAATAACATCAGATTCTGTTTCTCTGTTTATGAGCTATGATCCTGCTCCTTATGTTTGCATCCAGCATGCTCTCGTACCATGTAGTGTGGTTAAACCTGAGCAGGTCTTCAAATTCTCTTATATGCTTCTTTCATTTACTTAAAAAGACTTTCTGGAACAGATTTCTTTTCACATGAATATGTTCTGATATCTCTCTCTTAAAGATGCTATTTTTAAGTATTTCAACAAAAGTATTTTTTTCTGTAAGTATGTGATTGTTGTCAGTTTAAATTTGGCCGTTTTCCACAGAGGAAAGACAGAGAAGCTTCTCATCACTTTGTGGCACCACAACCAAATTCTCTCTGCAAGATTTGAAGAAAGGGACAAAGTAGATGCACTTAGACTAAATTATGTGCAGGGCTTTAAATTGGCAGCACTGAGAGATTTGGCTGGAAGGTCAAAGGCAGTTTGTATACTTGACTTTTTGGCAGCAGGATGTGACCTTTAACACGACCATTCCTGCTGCTGTCACCCGTAGCCGACTGTATCTTTTCAGAAAAACACAAACACACACCACCAATTTTCTTTTCTTTAACGTTCCTATGGCAACCTAAACATCTTGTGCATCCACACAAAAAAAATGATGAAAAGTGGGTGTGAGATTCTGCTCTAAACAAGCTCTGCCTCACTGCAGATAAATAAAAACAAAAGCATGTGCAGAAGACTGAAGATTGATTTTAGCCATCAGATGTACCTCTAAAATGTCACGTTTTAACAAAAAAACAAGTCTGCCTTCATTTTTTAGCTCCAACCTTGAGATTTTATCAAATGAGCTGTGGAAACATTTCATGAGCCCAAGAAGTCAAAGAATGTTTCAACCCAGAGAAAAACTATGTAACTCTTAAGCTGAAGTTTAAAAAAATGGAAATTGACTAAACATAGCAGTCAGTTCTCACAAAACAGTAGCTATATGTTGGTTTTCCAATATACTTTCAGTTTAAAAAAGGAAAACCTGCCATTTTTTGTGATGAATGCAATTCTGTAGTTTCAGTTGCTGCTAGCTTGTCTGCGTCAGGCCTCCAGACACTGTAAACTGTTTTAAATTGTACCTAATTACAGTATTATTGTCTTCTAAAAGAAACTGATGATACAATCAGTGTTCCAATGCGTCATTTTTAATGAGATGAGACCCTCCATGCTCATTCAAAAACATCACAGTGCTTCTAGAAAATGACACAGACTGTGTCTACAGAAATGAAGTAGGCATCAACGTCCCAAATGTATAAAACAAACTAGTCGGAGATTCAGTCATTTCTTGATACAGTGTTTAAACAACAGGAAATGCTCAAAAGGGTAAATAATACATTCACTACATCACTAAAAATAACAAATTGTAACAGAGACCAGAGCAGGTTTGAGCTGTTGATGTGAGTCTAGCTCTGGTGCTCACAGCTGATCCATAAAGCTGAAGGTTTAACTCAACAGCATCATAGAGACCAGCTCATCTTCCTGCAACACATCCAAGGATACTTTACATAACTCACCCCCATAATTATATAGAGTAGAGTTTAACTGACAAGTTTCTGAATATCATTTCGGACACATTTTACATTCCAGTTCTAACATTTTTATGCTAAATCATCTCATGAATCCAAAATGTTAGAATTGATCCCATGAAACTCAACAATATTGTAGTTATTTTAAGGTTAACAGCTTTTTAAGGCAAAGTGATCTACCACATACAGTATATTAATGGCAGGGAAACTCTGGGATACATTAGGCCTTTTAATAAAAATACCTTTACAAAAAAAACATAACAGAACAACTAAACAAATAAATAAAATGTGCCAAGAAAGTGAAACTTCATTGTATATATTACAGATTGTTCCATGTAGCTGTGGTCAGGGAAGAAACTATCATATTGGAGGTGACTATGAATGACTGATATTTGGTGCTTTGGCCAGTGTCGGGCCTGACATCAGTCTAATCTCTATATGTGCATCTTGGTTGACCGGATGAGAAAAGCAAACACTGCAGGGCTCCCTTGAAAGTCATGATGCTTTTAACCCATTTCCATTAAGGTTTTTAATATTCTCTTGTCTTTTCACCACTTCACACTCATCGTTCAGGGTGGACGAGGGCCATTTCAGAGCTCTCTGTGCCTCTGAACAAACAGATGGACGGATGGACCATAATTCATCCGAAAGGAAAAACACAAACGGGCACTTCTCAGTTTTGTTCTGCTCCGTTGGTATTTCCAACACTGCCACAGAAGAGTCAGTTCTAACAAAAGTTTCCCCCAATGGTGGTGTTTCTCCAAAGATACAAAAAGAGGAGGAGAATATGTCAGCCAGGCAAGCATACCTTGCCAGCAAACAGCAGTCCCACTATAGTGAAAAATATGGACAGAACGAAGAGTACGTAGGAGGAGCCCACCACTGTGTTGTTGGGGAGCTTATATGGCTGTCCTCCAACCTCGTTGATGTAGAAGCCGATTGGGAATATGAGGGCAGCCATACAGAAGAGAACCACTGGTAACAAAGAAAAAACATAAGATCATAAAGAATAATAATAAAAGAGTATTAAAATATCAAGTCAGCTCTAACACCTGAATAGGCCTCCAGCAGATGAGCTAAAACAGTTTGATAAAAGTAATGGATAAATGGTTTAAATAGCTACATTAAAACATTAGCTTAAATTAAATAGTAAGCTGAAAGTAACATTAATGCATAATTGGTTCAAATGGAACAGTAACAGTAGCAACAAAATAGTAGTAGTAGTAGTAAAGTAATGGATAAATGGTTCGGATAAATGGTTCAAATAAAAGGTGGTATCAATGAAAGGGTACTTTAGTTCAATTACATATTTGGTTTTTCATGTCAGCCGCAAAACACTTATCCAGAATCTGAGGAACTTTACCCCCTTTTAAAGGTTCAGTGTGTAGGGTTTAGTGGCATTTCACACTGTAGTTGCTGATTGCAACATCCTTACTCTACCCTACCTTTCCAACTGTTTCCAACTTCCGCATAGACATATATAACGAAAACGATTATACACTAATATAAAACATACCTATGAATAATACATTCAATTTCTGCCAATAGATCCTCTTAAATGTTACACACTGGACCTTTAAGGCAGTTATACAGTATTGATGGTCTACTCTTGAGAACCTTCTTTCTATTTTTCTATATTTAGAGGCACAGCTCCTGCTTTGGTTCTCTCTAATATTCAAACTCTGTCTCCTTGCTGTAAAAATAGACACCACCTCTTCAATTAGAGCTCCTCGGCAGTCACTTTGTCAAGATGCTCATAATTACCAGACTAAAAGCTTTCCTGAAATGAAATGTAGAATTCTGATGCTGAGGTAAGCTCCATTTATTTCTTAGAAGATTCTCCTACTTTCACAGGCATTTAATAAACTATAATGGGCAGTTTTGCCTCAAGCTCGACTTTACAGCTAAAAAGTATTAGCTTGTAACGTTGCAACTTTAATATTCATAATGAATTAAGCATGAGAAGAGACATTGAACACCTACTCCCTGTGAAGGCGATCCATCGGGCATACCGGGCGGCCTCGCGTCGCCAGTGTGACATCACCAGCAGACCACAGGTGACAGTGAGGGAGATGATACCCAGGATGATGAAGAAGAGTGTGGTGATCCACTCCGGAGGCAGCTGCGGGGGGATGCAGATCCGGTCCCGGCCGTGGATGATCTGGCACTGCCGAACCAGACCCACAGTCAGAGAGCCTGGATGGAGACAGTGAGGATAAAAGACGCAGTAGTTAAAAAACAAACTCTTTCTGAACATAAATCTGCTCTTTTTAGCTTCAGACAGTCTTTTATTTCCCAAAGGACACTTCCCAGCTCAGCAACAGTCTTAGGTCTCTCACAGCAAATTTATGAAAGTCCACAACCTACCAAAATACAGAATGTGTTGATTAACCAGTGCTTTATATTGATTCTTACAGGTGAGTCACAACAGCGTTGAATAAAGAGAGTGACCGAGGTTGTTCCGCAGTAATAACCCTCCATCCGCACCACTGGAATTACCCAGATGTCTACCAAGCTGATATTGGAGACAAAGTCCCACTGACTGACAACACATAGTCAACACAGGCTGACAGAGCACTGGCAGAACCATGAAAACAGACGTCACCTACCTTCAGGATTAGAAACTGTACCGCAGACAGTGAAAAACCGGTCCCCAGGTCAGAAATAGTATTATTACTTTAATACTGCGTCTGAATTAAACACAATAAGGCTATAGCAGCATGAGTTAAAACATGAGATAAATTAAATATTAAAATCTTAAAACAATTGATAAAGCTGCTCCAAGAGGAATTTTAAGGAAAGGAAAAAAAAATGTTTTACCTGTGTAATATCTATAAACCTATATTAAAGGCCCTGAAAACATATTTACAAAATAATCTGCCAAAGTTAGAACAGCTTTGGTTATTTGTGACATTTCTGTATTTGTGTTTTTGGTTTGACGTTGGTGGGGCTCAGTTTGGCAACATCTAAATTGAAATCAGATGACAGTTCCGTTACCAGGCCACAGTCAATCAATTGTGATCAAACCACACCCACACAGTCCTGATCCTGATGAAGCTGGTTTTTATTCTGAACTTTCATTACAGATGTTATTTTAGCCAGTAAAAATGTGCAACACGTGGTTCATAACAATTATAATAATAATACTCCAGTCTACTGCACATTAAGGCATCAGCCTGCTTGATGAGTTTGCTTTCTTTATATAACAAACTCTAATGCACAGCAATATATGTGGACTCTGGCTGTAAGACACGATGACCTCCCAGGAGTCCCTCTGACTTCCCACAGTGACGAAGGCCGAGGAACTTGTTGGTATGGAAACACTTTGATGGGCGGTGTGCCAGTGGCAACAGTGACCCCCAGTGATTCATGTATGACGTCAGGATCCTGGCATGAACCACCGAAAAACATCACAGAGAGTGAGAAACAGAAGAGCCGAGATAGAAAGTGAAGAAATCAATGACCCCTACATCAGATGGCAAATCATCTGACGGCCTCTTGTCTCACAAAGCCTGCTGGGTACAAGGGCTTCTGCATATTAACACACACACACACA